TCTAGTGGGGCAGTTGTCTTCAGAAAGAGACCCTTCTGCATTATTTGGTCCCAAGCCTCAACCGGTACTCTAGGGAGAGCTTCTTCCTAGCAATGCCGGGTGCTTATTGTATCTACCAGCCGGCGGTTAAGTTGGGGGGATGGGGAAGAGACGACATAAAATTTACTCTTCCAATTACTCCATTTGGACGGCTTGTCCAAAGTCATCATATACTCCGGAAGCGTGGTGAGAGTGTACCACGCATTCCACCCACCCGGCGCTCTGCTTAAGTAATGCATATGCGCAAATGCTTCCCAGCTCGGCTTGACACCCTGCAGCTCGCAGGTGGCAATATATCCAAGAATGTTGACCCACGAATTAGGGGTCAACTGCCATACACCCAAGTCATACCCCTTTAGTATGGCTCTAACGCAGTGATGGAGGGGGAACCAGAGGCCGGCTATAAATGCCGCCTCGTAGCAGCCGAAGTAGTTGTCGACATTGTCCACGTCGTCGGTCCAAACGACTCTTGCCTCTACAGTCGGGACAAACACCTCCCATTACTCCCCAACTGGCTTCTTGTTTAGGAAAGCAGGGAGTGTGGCGTTTAAAGTGACCACATCCCTGGCGGACATGGTCATATCAGTTGGGTCGCCCTTAGCTGGCCATTTGTAGGCCTCTTCATCAATGGGAGCCGCCTCTTCAGAAGACTCTTCATCAGGGCCAAGGCCGGACTCCTCATTATCAACTGACCCCTCTCCGGATTTTTCACCGAATCCCTCTCCGGATTCCTCAGTGTTGGAACCAGAGCTATCCAAGATACTGTCACCCGGTGTGCTAGGTGTATTCGGGGAATCTTGCTGAATCTCTTCATTAGGACCCATCTCAGCCGGTTCCTCGGCTTGTTCTTGATTTATAGGGTCAGATGGGGGTACATTGAACGCATCTTTAAATTTGAAGAGGTCGCGAAAAGACAAGAATGAGGACCCAACCGGCTTTAAAACCGGTTGGGGTTTTTGAATTCATTTCTTGACAAAACAAATACCCAGGCGGTGTAATACCGGATGGGGATGCTTTGAAATCCTTGTTACCTTTTAAAAAAAATAAAAAAAAAAATAAAAAAAAAACTGCTCAAACAATATCCAGACGGTGAGTCACCGGATGGGGGTGCATTGAACGCATCTTAAAATTTGAAAGGTCATGAAAAAGACAAGGATGATGACCCAACCGGCATTAAAACCAGTTGGGGTTTTTGAAATCGTTTCTTTGTAAAGGCTCAGAAGTACGCCAGACGGAGTTTCACCGGATGGGTACTTTGAATGCCTGGTTATATAAAGGACAAGTCTATTTGGGAATGGATCAGAGATCCCACAGACGGTGTTAAACCGGATGGGGGTGTTTAGAATGCATAATTCTTAAAGGTTGATGATCCCTCAGACGGAGCTATGCCGGCTGAGGGAGAGAATTCAGCACTGGGATATGGGTTAAAGGCCCCCCAGGCGACAAGTAACCCGGATGGGGTAAAACGTTCAAAATCCTCAAAAATGGAAGTTAAAAGTAGAAAGAAAAGAACAGCCGGTACCTTAGAGATTGGAGAAAGAATACTCAACCAGTCGCCGGATGTGCTTGATTCAAAAATGCCGGATGCAAGGAAACTTAGGAAATTATGCAGCCGGTGTCAGAGCTCTCTCAGAAAATTTTTGAAAAATTATGCAAAGTGTGGAGGATAGAGAGAGTGTCTCTCATTTATAGAGAAGGAGCAAAAGGCGAAACGATGCCTTCTGCCCTAAAAACTTGAAATTTGAAAAAAGGAGGGAAGAAGACGAACTGTCTCCTCCTATGCGTCTGACACTTGTCACAGGTGACACGTGGACATGCCACTTCACACCTGTGAGGGGCAGATGTTTAGGGTAAAAATACCCCTAAGACACGTGGCCCTATAAAGGCTTGCCACGTGTCAAGTTTGCAACGGTCAGCAAAGGCCCAATCCCTTTGCGACACGTGTCATTGTACCCTAATTGAGGTACAGCTCTCCCCTACTATAAATAGTAAGGGCATACCTCATTAATGGGGATCGAATAATTTTCAACCAACCAACCAAACACAAATCCCCTTGCAAATGCTCTCAACTCGAGAAGCATTTATTGTCTTATTTCCTCATTAAGAAAGAGACTAACTTAATCTTCGGAGGCGGAACACCCCAGCCCCAGCCGGAGTATTCCGTTATCTGTGTGGGTACAGGCAACGGAAGGAGCATACTAGGAAATTGTAACTCTCCCGTAGGACACATAAAAAACCCCCAAACAAACATGTTGCTTTTTTTAAAAAAAAATTGCTGTTGTTTTTTTTTAAAAATAAAAACCTGCTGACCTGCTTGTCTGTGGCCCCGCAAATCAACAAAATATTATCTTTTGGTGTATAATTTTGAGCTACTATCACTTTTACTAATACTGATAACCATAGAATCAAAGCTGGTTTTCTTCTCGTTTCATCAACATCTTAACTTTTTTTTTTTGGGAGCTAAATAATTCAATTCACATGAAATTCAAGTAGGAAAAAAAATATTAAAAATTGGGGAAAACTACAACTAACTAGGTAAAATAAAGCTGAAATAGAGCTGAAAATGGAAAATCAGCAGCAAATTGAGCTCAGAGAAACTTAACTTTGACGATCTCAAAGTTTAAAGAAAGAAGCAGAATCCAACCCCAGATGCAGAAGCTAAGAAGTCTAGAAAATGGAGAAAGATGATCAAATCATAAGCAGAGTCAAATCATAACTAGGTAAAGTAAAGCTAAGCAGAGTCAAATCATAACTAGGTAAAGTAAAGCTAAGCAGAAGCTAAGAACTTTTTTTTTAAAAAAACGGGTATCCGGGTACCCGATTATTGCAAAGCTTGTCCCATGTCCCGGCTGAAGAAAGTGTTATTTTACCAGGACAGGTACCCGACCCGAAAAAAACAGAAAATTTTGAAAATTTCCTTTCAGGTTTTTTGCGGATCATCGGGAATTCGGGACGGGACAACCGGGTCGGGTTTTTTTTAACACCCCTAATACCGGGTAGCGATCCATCACGCCTCGCCAACCTCATCGGCTCATCCAATCCTACGTACTACTCCCCTTTATATAATCTAATTCACCACCTTTAAAAAATATCCAATAGACTTAATCAACAAGCCCATTGATGAAGCAAAATAGCAGTGACAACAAGCTCGCCCGGTCAGGCCGCACTCCACTCGATCGGCCCAGCTAAAAATCACGCCGAGCAGGAACATTAGTAAGCTTGGGCCGTTTAATGCTTTGGCCCAATCTTCTACTCTTTTGCTTGGTCTATGATTATAACTTGGACATTTGTAACTCACTTAATCAAGCCATTAATCACTTAATTAAATTCCTTTGATTAGGCCTTGGACTTCAAATATACGGTCATAAAATACGATCCGACTCTAATATTTGTAGTGGCTCAATAAGCACGGAAATTATTATAATTCTGCAAATTCTTACAAAATAATACCAACTCTACAAAAACACTAGAAAACGTATATTAGTAATAAAAATAGCTCTGCATAGCTCAAATAAGCACAAATATGACCGTGGGACAGGAAATATGTATATGCATATATATATATATATATATATATATATATATATATATATATATATATGTATGTATATATATATGTATATATATATATATGTATATATATATGTATATATATATATGTATATATATATATGTATATATAGATATAGATATAAATATAGATATAGAAATAGGATCATGTGAGAACACATCCCTTATGTGAGAACACTTTATAACCATTAGATCAAACAAGATCCAACGCTCCATCATCTATTCCTTTCAAAATAATGGCATTATTGTAAATTTTAGATTGTATGTAAGAAAAATCTAAAAAAACATTGTCCAGCTTTTTTTCTCTCTAGATATTGATCTAGGTCTTGCCTTTCTCTCTCTTCTTTCCCCAAAAATTTCTGAACGAACACTGTTTTGATCGTAATGCTGAGATATCTTTGAATTTCGACTTAAATCTACAACTATAGTTAGGTATTTGCTGTTTTAATTATTTTTCCTTTGATATTTGGCTTCAATTGTTCAAATTTTGGTATTGAATAAGGTTTTTGTGATTTTGTTGAAACCCTAGAAATCACGAATCTTCATCAAATGGATTCAACCGAAGCTATTGTTACATATGAACAAATGATGTAAGTATCAATTTATTGATTTTGGGCATTTTACTTTGTTTTTATGTGATTTTTAGTAATTTGTATCATGTGATGATAGTACAAAGCAATTTTATGAGATCTTGATTTAATTTTGTTCATTTTCTGGTTTCTTAATGTTTTATACTCGTCAATTGCCAAAATGTTTAGCATGAATCTTTAACTTTTCTGTGTTGGTGGTTGTCTTAAGCAGTATTACATGAAGAAGTTCACGACATACATAGTGGACCTGATGAAGAAGGAGAAGCTTTTTGCATCACAAGGAGGTCCAATCATCATGGCTCAGGTACATTCAAATTAAATATTGTTTAAGCAAGTCCTGAAATGGATGTTGCACTACATAGTAAAATGTTAAGGTGTTAGAAGTAGCAAGTAAAGCAGAACTTAGTTCAAAAGCTATATTTTTCTGTTCTTACAAAGCATTTGTATATTTGAGAAGTTAAGTGATATAGGATTATAGAGCACTTCTGGTAGTGAGTTGGTTCTGTTCTACAAAAATTCTTTTATATATAGTGTTGTCTTGCATTTGAGCACTTTTTGCTTTTGTTTTACAAGCTCTTTGTGGCTCTATTGGTTTTGTTTTCCTTCTTGTAATGTCAATACAACTACAGTATTCTTGTAATACTTGGTATTATTTTTCTTTTTTCTTGTAGGTAGAAAATGAAATATGGTTATTATGAACAATCATATGGAAATGGAGGGAAGAAATATGCCTTGTGGGCTGCCAATATGGCCCTTTCTCTGAACATAGGTGTGCCTTGGATAATGTGCCAGCAGTGGGATACACCTGATCTTGTGGTGAGAATATTTGGATATGCAGGTTCATTTTCCATGTGTGAATTCTGTGATTTCTTTGCTTCCCATGTATTTTGCTCGGAAAGGTTTATTATCTAAACCTTCACATGTGACATAGCTGCAAACATATAACTACTTCTTGAACTATTTTGCTGATCTTGTCTAGTTGTGTTTCATGTCTGTCCATATGTGTCTGCTTATTATGTTGTGTTATAGTGTCTTGATCTAATCATCCCTTTGGGCATTGTGGGTGGTTCTGTTGAGCCCCAAGCTGATTTCCTCTTCCATTACATCCTATATACATGGCTCATTATTAGATTTCTTGATTGTTTTTAATGATAACTGAAACTCCGGGATCTATCACTACTTCCTTTCAGAAATAATAATATGAAAGGTGTTGCTTCAGTTGAGGTGTTTCTGACTTTCTCTATCTTATTTTGTCCCTCTCCTTCCCGAAAACAAAAAAAGAATAAGCAGAGAGATGTCTCACCCTTTTTTTATTTTATTTTATGCATAACCATTACTAATATTTTTTTATTTTTTATTAACTGATTATGTAAATGTTGCGAGTAAAAAACTTCTCCTTTTTGGGAGAATTATATAGGTCAACTTGTGTAAAGGATGTTTCTTGCTTGTGGTAGAAATTGTACGCTTTAATACCATTACATTAAGTTTACACAGGTTTCCCATTCATATACTTGCGATTTTTTGTCTTGTTTAATGAATTTTTTAGGAACTTAACAGAAACACTACTACAAATCCCTTAGTTTCTGGACGCTATGTGCTCGACGCCATGTATCAAGCGTTAGCCAAAAAAATTATTTTCGTGTTTTTTCGACGCTTTTAAGCGTCACCATTAGATCTCGACACATAAAAGCGTCGAGAAAAATACATGTGATATGCACGTGACTGTCTATATCCCGGGACTTCAAATTTCAGGGAAAAAAAAAGCGGGCTAATTAAATTAAACCAAAAAAAAAAGAAAAAAATTAAACCGCCATTACGCAGTTAGCAGTCAGAAGAAATAAAAAAAAAAAAAACCCTTAGCTCCTAACGAACCCTAACACGATCTTCTTTGCTTGCTCACGCACAATCGCTCTCATCTAATCTCTTAAACCACTTGAAATTGTTGAATTTTCGTTGCTCTCTTCAATATTATCTTCAATTTTCGTTAATCCTCTCGCTCATGTCATCAATTTTCCGTATGTTTTGGTTGATATATCAATTTCGTAGGTTTTGGTTATCAATTTTGTTGCTAATGCTGAATTTTTGTTTATTCATTGCATGTATGGGAATTCTTTTTGCTAATGGGATTTCGAAACCACCCACGCAGAGAAGTGAAGAATTTATATCACAGGTCATGGTCTAATTAATTTTTTTTATATAATACTATTTATTATTGATTGGTATTTGTTTTGGTTGATTATGTTTATTGAATTGTTGATTTTTTGTATTAATTTTGTCAAATTTTAATTTTATTTGGGGTTTCTGGGTAGAAACTGTGATTCTTGAAAGGAGATTTGTACGTGTTGATTAATAATGAACTGGTAATCCATATGAGGTTACGTGATGAGAGAGATGGAGGTGCTGGTTCAAATGGGTACATCACTATTCACCACAGCCACTTTAGGGTGTTGTACTTCATTTTGCTTGCCTATTTTACTGTAATTTTGGTCTTCCATTTGGGGTCAAGTTTTGAGGTTGATTATAGCAAGAATTGTGATTTTATAATTTTTTCCTTGTAATTTTTCTACAAGCTGCAAGTTATCCCAAGTCTTTTTAACATTTTATGGAATTAATTTGAATGGTGGATGACCATGCATGTTGAATGTTTTGATAGAGAGTTCATATAGTCAATATTTCAGCCCATCTTTAACCCTGGGAAAAATCTGCTGAAATGTACACAATGATGATGTTCCTAAACCAATCCACTGCACGCCTAATTGGTGCATCATGTTGTGGCGGTTGCATTTGTATAAGGACAAAGGAGGGGCCTGAGTTATGACCATGGGCGCATGCACTCGGGGCTGTGTGGAGCTATATTGTGTGCACACTATATTCACACTAGGATTGTTAAGTTTGACATCGGTTTAAGGAACTCCTACTACCTCACACAAACCTGTCCTTCCTCTTTTGTTTCCTTTGTAATCCTTGATTCAAGGAAGGGTGGGAATGTGGGATAGCCTATTCTTCTAGTTAATGTTTTCGAAAGTGTTTTGGTACTTTAAACTAGGCTCCCCATAAATTAGCAGATTTGGTCCGCACAGAATCTAGTAGGATAATGTATATATATTTTAGCCATTTGAAATCTATAGAGGTTCCTGCACCTATTTTTATGCATGACAAGATAATCTTTTATTAAATTATGGTTGATATACATAGAAAACTTTTATTAAATTATGATTACTTGTCATACGCACAAAGAAAATTTTGTTTAATGTTATTTGGCAGCAACTTGATGCTCTCTCTTAGCAATTGTCAAAAAAAGAAAAAAAAAGAAAAACTTATTGTTGCCTTAATTCTTATCTCACTGATTTTGTCATGGCCTCTTGCAGTAAGTTGCATTTTATAATTGGATTCTATAACATTTTATATGCTGATATGTGTACAGAAAATAAATCTTAGTTGAGTTCTATTACTTTGAAATAGGCAGATTGTTCATAACTTTTGAAGGAAGGCAGATTGAGAAAGGTCTTATGCTAGGTACAATTGTCCATGTATTTGTGAATTATTGCCAATTGTTGGCTACTTCTGTGAAGTGACTGGTTGCACTGTCGTAGTTAGGCTTATGATACCGAGTTTATTTTTGGCAATACAATGTTAGTAGGACTACCTCAAAGGTAGTCTTAGATTGTTGTTTACACTAGTGTGTGAAAATCTATACAACTTGTGACTAATGGGTGGTTTTAGTGGTTGTATGCATGCATCTTATATGTATGCCTATCTTGTGCCATGTATGTGCCATCAATAATGTTATCCATAATCCATTGTTTGCCTGTGATTCGGAGTCATGTGTCTATATGCTAGATAAACCAGAATCTAGTCATTCATTATTAACATCGATTATGTTCCATTGATTATGTTCCATCGAATTTCTTAGTCCATTCAAGGCTTGCAGGCTCCAACTGTTCCTAATCAGAAAGCTTGTAGGCTTATCTATATACTTGTATTACTTTCAGTTTAGTTTTAATAGAATCAAGTAAACTTAACGTTGCTTAGAGTTCTTTATCATTCTTTAGTGATTCCAGGCCAAGAATCATAGCTACAAACTTTTAAATACGTTAGATTATTATACATAACTCTTTATTATCTATTAGTAAAGTAATGATTCTAGGTTTTTTTAACCGTATTTTTTATAAGGATTTCTATTCATATTGCATCCAAACTTATTATAGCTTATTATATTATGTATAGTTTGATACATTTCCATTTACTATATAGGTTGTATTAAATCGTACAAGTTTGACTTATGTAAAAAATTTATATAAATCTTAAGCCAATAGGCTAATATTTATGTTATATCTTAAAATTTGAAGTTGTGTTTTTGTGTTTAATAGGTGACAGAGGAGGAGCTTATCTAAAAATTGTTCTAATTGTGATAGTTGCTGCACTTAGCGAGTTGGCCGAGGTAACTACCCAAATTCCTAAATTATCTTATATGTCATATAATTGTATATTATATTTATTGAATCAAGAATGTATTGTTTGAATTATTATGTTTGATCACTTTGTTTGCATTTTGTCTCCAACCACAATGATAACATCATATAAAAGCTATAAAAGGGGAAACCTTGGTAAAGTATTTACTAACAGTGCTAAAAATAACCTAAGTGATGGAATATGTTGTTACACTCTTCTTAATTATAACATTTATAATATTTATTACCAAATTATTATCAGCTTATTATTGATACTTATTAATAATTATTAAATATTAAATTTTATTATGAATTCATTGTAGATATGGATACTAGTTGGATTGATTTACCAAAAGGAAAATCTGCCTATTATGAGGGTTGCATGAAATTCTTAGAGATTGCTAAGGAGACTCTTATTAATGGAAAAACCAAATGCCCATGTAATAAGTGTAAGTTAAATAAATGGCATCTTTTAGAAGAAGTAGGAGGCCATATTTTATTTAACGGCTTTTATAAGAATTATAGAAAATGGATTTTCCATTGTGAGGGTGAAGGGAGTAAAACCTTAAATCCCCCTAGTGATCATGGGAAGGAAGTAGATCGAGATGATATGGATGGGCTACTAAGAGAGGCTTTCGGGGTTCACATTCCACAATCCACTAGTGAATTCCAAGCTCCATCATCCAATGAAACGAATTTTGATGAGAAAGGTTCATATGACATGCATGAAGAGAGTGATTTTCATCGTGAGGTAGATGATAAAATGCCTTCAACTAACACTAATGAAGAAATGGAAAAGTATAAACGTCTCATGGAAGCTTCTAACGAGGGTTTATATGAGGGTTGTACTACTTTCTCAAAGTTATCATTTCTCTTACATCTGTTTCACCTTAAGCGTATGTTTCATTAGTCTGCTGAGTCATTTAATAAATTGATTAAACTTCTAAATGACGCATTCCCTCATATTCAAGAGTTTCCATCATCTTACTATGAAGGGATGAAAATAATCAAAGACTTGGAATTAGGATATGAAAAATCCATGCATGTCCAAATGATTGCATGTTATATTGGGGGGAATTTGCTGATGAAATTGAGTGTCATATTTGTCATACATCAAGGTGGAAAACTATGAAAGGGAAGGAGGGTGATAAAATTGAAAAAGGGAATGAATCAGTTAAGAAAGGTGAGCCAGCTAAAGTTATGCGATATTTTCCTCTCATACCTAGACTAAAGAGGCTTTACATGTCTTCTAAAACGGCAGAGGATATGAGATGACATTTTAACCGTGAGGATGATAAGATCCTAAGGCACCCTGCAGATGGTGTTGCTTGGAAAAAATTTGATGAAAAATATAAGGAATTTTCTGCCGACCCTCGCAGTGTTAGATTGGGATTAGCTAGTGATGGTTTTAATCCATATCGTCTAATGAATACCAATTACAGTACATGGCCAGTGGTTTTAATTCCTTACAATCTTCCACCATGGTTCTGCATGAAGTCATCATCTTTCATTTTGTCCTTGATTATTCCCGGTAAATATGGTCCTGGTATTGATATTGATGTGTACTTGCAACCATTAATACATGACTTGAAATTGTTGTGGAAAGGTGTAAATGCTTTTGATGCTTACAATGGAAAATCTTTTAACATGCGAGCGGCCTTACACTCCACAATAAATGACTTCCCTGCATATGCTATGTTGTCGGGATAGAGTACCAAAGGTTATAAAGCTTGCCCTTCTTGTGCTGATTCCACTAATTCATATAGATTTGGTGGTAAAATTGTCTTCCCTGGACATCGAAAATGGTTGCCAATTGATCATCCTTATCGTTCTGAAGCTCAATTATTTGATGGGAAAGAAAAGTACGGTCTTGCTCCAATCCCTTTAAGTGGGACCGATGTTTTGAAGCAGCAAGAAAAGGTTAAGTATGTTTATGGAACCTCGAAAAAAGCTTCTAACAAAAGGAAAAATAGAGGAACAAAAGATATTGATGATGATTATCAAGCTGATGTCGATGATGTTATATGGCGTAAGCAAAGTGCATTTTTTGAATTGGAATATTGGGAACATAATCTTCTTAGATATAATTTAGATGTAATGCACATTGAGAAGAATGTGTGTGACAATCTATTAGAAACTCTATTAGATATGGATAAAAGTAGAGATGATCCAGAAGCTAGAAAGGCTCTTGAGAAGAAAAACATTAAACCTCATCTTTGGCTTCAATCTCATCCTAATCGGGCTCAAAAATATATGCCTCCAGCTGCATACACCATGTCTAATGAAGAGAAGGAACGATTTCTAAGAGTGTTAAAAAAACTTAAAGTTCCTGATGGATATGGGTCTAATTTACAAAGATGTGTCAATTTGAAGCAGCGAAAACTTATTAATTTGAAAAGCCATGACAACCATATCCTTATGCAAGATATCCTTCCAGTTGCTTTAAGAGCATCAAATTCCACAAAATTCATTGACTTGCTTGAGGAGTTGTCGTACTTTTTCAAGAAGATATGTTCACCCGATATTGACATTGAAGAACTAGGTTCCATTCAAAACAAGCTTGTGTTAACTCTTTGTAAAATGGAGATAGAGTTTCTACCAACATTTTTCACCATCATGGTTCATTTGCTCATTCATCTAGTGGATGAGGTAAAACTCGGCGGACCAGTTCATTATAGATGGATGTATCCCATTGAAAGGTTAATATCTATATATCTCAATATTCACTCTTATATAAGAAAACATAACACACATTATTTTTTTTTTTAATATCATTAACATATATAATTTTTGTTTTAAGGTATTTAGCCTTTTTGAAATCTCATGTAAGCAATAAAGCACAACCTGAAGGATCTATAGCAAAAGGGTACCTTTTATGGGAAACAATTACATTTTGCTCAAGATATTTAGAAAGTGTTGAAACGATATTTAGCAGACCGAAAAGGAATGAGGATGGTGTTCCAAACATTTATACTTATTTATACAATTCTGGTGGTCGTGTACTTGGAAAGAAAGATAATGTTCGTCTTGATGACAAAAGTTTAATGCAAGCGCATCGCTATGTTTTGCTTCATTCAGATGAGATAAAGCCAGTGCTTGAGTAAGTAGTACTATAAGCAATTTTAGAGTGTAATTACTTTTAACTATGTAGTAACACAATTGTCCACATTTAAAAGTGATTTCATAGAACAAAAACGGCAACAAGAGAATCAAGTCGGAAGAAGGCAGTCGAATGAGAGTATTGAAAGCCAGTGGATAATCAATGAGTTCGCTGATTGGTTGCAAAACCAGGTTATATGCTTTAAAACGGTGAAAATTTGTCTTATTTATTTTTATAACTAATCTATGTGTAACTTTTTTTTTTTTGAATTATAGGTCAATAATCTAGATGATAGCACAACAGAAGGAAAAATGAGAAAGTCCTTAGCCGGTGGTTTAAGTAACCGGGTAAAAAGGATGAAAAGTGTGGTGATCAATGGTTACAAATTTGATACTATGGATCGTGAGAGATTCCGAAAGACACAAAATTCTGGAATCATGGAAGAAGCCGAAGGCCAATAGTATTATGGAAAAATCAAGGAAATATTGGAATTTGACTATTATGGTTCTTTTAAGGCTATAATGTTTCGTTGTGAATGGGTTGATGTACATAGAGGTGTCAAAACATACCCAAATGGTGGTGTTTGTGTCAATTTTTCAAAGTTGATGCACACTGGTCGAAATTTACATGACGATCCATTTATTTTCTCATCACAAGCCAAGCAAGTTTTCTTACATTTAAGATGAGATTTAAAAAGGATGGCTTCATGTTATTAAGACTAAGCCTAGGGACTTGTTTGATATACCAAGTGATGAAGAGCTTTTAGAATAACATTGTATTATTTGATTCTTTAGTTTACGTGATACATTTGATTATATGAGTATGATATTTGCTTTTGGATTTATGTTCTAGCCATACTCGCTTGATGTGCCCTAGATCTTATAATAGGGACTTAACAATTATTACCTTAATGTTTAAGCTGTCGGGATTACGAGCTTAGTAAAATAAGAAGTCAAAATGACACTGTAGTTTAACCTTTATGGTTGGTTTTGTGATCATGGCATGATCTATTTATTACTTAGTATTATGTTGTGTGTGATTTGTGAAAAAGGAAGATAATGAACTGTGTGATGTTGATAGCCCGTTTTGTTATCGAATTACTAAGTTACATTTTTAATTTCTGCAGAGTACAGAACAGTCTCAGGAGTTGCAGGACCACTAGTTATTCTGGAGAAGGTTAAGGTAAGTCTAGTGTCTTTCATATTTATTTTTCTTGCCCAATTAATATCTATCTGGATCAATCTTACTTTTTTTTACTGTTAAATTTACATTTCTTATGAATTGTGTGCCTATTTCTAACAGGGACCTAAATTTCAAGAAATCGTGAATAGTTGTTTAGGAGACGGATCAACTCGTAGAGGTCAAGTTTTGGAAGTTGATGGTGAGAAGGCTGTAGTTCAGGTACTTAAAGTTTATATCTTGAATTGTTTGTTTATCTTTTACATTTTGTGACACTAGTTTTTTCTGACCTGCTGTCACTCATCCTAACTATTAGACAATGCTTCTACAAATGGGAGAATTTTAAGCAGTTTTGTCTTAGGAAAAGAAATTCACTCACGCAGTCTGATTTATATTTCTGACAGGTGTTTGAAGGAAAATCTGGAATTGACAACAAATATACTACTGTGCAGTTTACTGGTGAGGTAAGGAGACTCAGACTATCAGTGATTTTCATTAACAAGACTAACAATTAAAGTTGTAGCACTAAATGGTTGATTGCATGAATGTTGTGAGATTAGATTCTTTGTATTTTATCAAGAGTGGATACTCAGTGTTTTAAAGTTGTATCTATATCTTCATTGTGTGTAATTTATTACTTGCTAGAAAATTATTTTACCTGATGAATAGATAAATATGGTTGATTACTATTTAGTTTTTAATTATAACTTGTCTTTTTGCTGTGTCTCTATCCTTTTCTTTTTTCTTGCTTTGTTTGAACTTAGTGTACTATAGATTTGGGTATTGGTGGTCTTAAATTCTGCTAAGTTTAAAACGTAGTGCTCAGGAAGCTCCAGTTCAAGCCTATTATTCTGCCCAAAAGTCTGAAACCGAGGTCCTTATGGTGCTTCATAGTAAGATATTCTAAGAATTTATTGAATTAAGAATGTATTGTTTGATTCTGTAAATGTGCTGGAAACATTTGTATCCTGTGAAATCTACAAATCAAAAATATAAAATACTTAGTAGCTGTTATGTTCTTATCTTGTGGTCATGTAGGTATGACTTATCGATTAAAAAGAGAAAGGGCTGCAGCTACTGCCCCTCGTGCATATATGAGTGGAGATGCATCACATGATTCACAACCAACCAAAAAACAAGCTAATGAGCGAACGTCCCAAGTCCCAACGACAACTGTTAAATGGGGACCGTTTTCTCCACTAGCTGCGACTAAAGTAAAGGTTGTACCTCCATCTTTGAATACATAAACAAGTGCACAAATGCCTATGAAAGATAACAAAGTAGGAGCTATATGGAAAAACCCACCAACTGGAACATCAAGCTCACAAAAAGCACCAGCATCAACTTACAACTCACATAAGGCACCTTCACCTAATGTACCAACATCATCAAACGCACCCCCATCAAACGCACCTGGAAATCTTAAGACTCCAACTTTAAGTTCTCATAAGGTGGCTGAAGAACCATCAGGTTTTGGTAAAGAAAATCCACCAACACTTTCATCCATGAGCTCACCTAACATCCCACCTTCTATTACATCAAAGTCACTAAAATTCCTTTTACATCTTCTTTCAATTCTGATCAGCCCTCCTCCTTAAACTTACTCAATTCAAATGAGAAAAGCAGAAAAGAAGATGTTAATATTGAAACAGAGGAAAAGAATTGTGAGGAAACAAAAAAAAGCTCAAAACTAGTAAAGTCTCTACGATCAAAGTCGCATCCTGATTGGCCTATGACTGTAGATGATTTTGATGACAAAGAAAAGGTCTTGACAATAGGTATGTTTACTTTTTGAATTTTTTTTTTACATATTCTTAATTCTTTTTTTTTTTTGGTAAGTAAGTGATTTTATTAATACCAAAGAGAAGAGGGCAAGCCCTCAAGAATACAATGGCTAAACATCCAAGCGCACACACAAGCCTCACAGCACCTATACATGCGAACTAAAAACAAGCTCACAAAACAGGTACACCATGATCCTTAGGTTGGCAGACTGAAAACCAGGAGCCAAGAAGAAGCCTCCCACAATCCCACCAGAATCAGACCACAGCACCAGCATAAAGCAAACACTATTGTCATACACCTAACATATTAATAAATATATTATTGACCTCAATTTGAAGCTTTATTCAATTTTTAAGTCCCTTGCTTTTGTGCAGATGCTAATGGTAACGTTGTATACTTGAGTGGTTCTATTCAGCCTATTGATGTTTGGAGTAATAACGGTGTCAGATTCTATGTTGAATTTAATGAGTTTCACCAGCCGATTCGAAAAGGTGGACATATTTTAATCCGATTCCTTGGTAACATTGCGAAGATAGAGACGTATTGTCCACTTGGAGAAGAGGATTGGCATGCTGTTGATGAGCATTTTAAAAAGAAGATAATTAATGAGATGAGAGTATGTATCACCTTTTTTATATTACTTCTCATAATAAACTACTTTTTCATTCATGAATTTATTTATTTTACTAACCTATAAATACTCTTACTGAAGTTACTTGTTTTTCATGTATAAGGACCGCTTTGTGATTCCCAGTGGTGAACTATATAACAAAGCAGCCGTCAAGCGTGTTAATAAAAGTTGGAGGCAATATAATTTTAATCTTAAGAAGGATTACTACAAACCAAAAGAGAAAACTTTAGAAGAGATGTGTAGCACTACACCACCGCATGGGATTAGTAGTCAAAATTGGATAAAGCTACTTAATTATTGGGATTCAGAGAAGGGAAAAGTAAGTATATTTCTTCCTATTAAGATATCATACATCTTGCTTTCTAATTCGAGTTAAATTATTACATAATTTAATTTATGACTTTGAATATGAGTCAATGAGCCATAGTTTATGTGACCATGCTAATTATTTGCAGATAAATACTTGTAATGGATTCTATTGTGACGACTTTACTCCAAGTTCTTCCAAAAGTCCGAAGATTTGGACTGAGAACTGGCCTGGATGGTAACTTTGCTAACATGTTTTTTGAGTTGCCTTTCAAGATCTAGAGCTTTCCAAGTTTTTAGATTATTAAGCATCTCGTTATAAGTAAGTTCATGATTGAACTGACTATTTGACTTCTGCTCCAGGTTCAAAACATTTGGCGACGTGGATCCTCACAGACCAGTCGAAGATGTTACCTATGTTGTTGCTCGTTTTTTTTCAGAAGGGTGGCAGTGTACACAACTATTACATGGTTAGTTTACTCGATCTCTGTGTCACTGATTTACTGTATATGGCCATTGTCGAATAACTCTAGTTAGGTACTATGATTATAGCAATTATACAGAGATTGGCATAAAAAAAAAAAAAAAAAAAAAAAAAAAAAAAAAAAAAGAAAGGTCAAAGATTCAAAGGAATGAGAAGGTACAAAAGAGAAAGGAAGGTTTTTTTTTTTTGTCAATGTTAAACAGTGATAATGGTCAAATTGAGAAAATTGATTATTTTTTGGAATCTGAAATTCTGAAGTGGAAATTTTGCAAAATTTTGAGTTCGGTGGTGCATCCGGTTAATTTTTAGCTGAAAGTGTACCGTATAGTTTTCAATTATTCATTACCAAAGTAAATGAAATTTGAAGGGGAATGGACAACTGAATCCATTGTATTTTGTCGTCTTAGTTTAGTGTGCACCCCACTAAAAATGTAATGAAGCATGTTACTCAAACTCTTGTGTCAGGCATTCAGGCACAATCATGTATCAGACACTACTATTATATGAAAATAGCCTACATTTAGCTTAAAGGTGTGATGTTAATAGGAACATTGTAACAGACCTTAAAGCTGTAAGCCTGTAATGATACTTTTCTGCTCTTAAGAATGGTAGGTTTTTCCGTTTTGGCTGTGGAAGGTAGTGTGGTTGTGGTCCTTGAGGGTTCTCTTCCACTTTAGGCACACTTGCCCAGGGACCTGTCTCGGAAGAGGAAATTAGAGCTGTATTGCAAAAAGCGCCTGTAACCACATTAAATCTTGTGGACACCATTAAAGCAAGACTAAAGACACAAAAGGTACATATAATTTCCTTTTTACCTGAGACATGTTGGTTACTTGGTTACATGATGTTATGATTGAATTGCTAGGATCTGAATTTTGATTCTGCTAGAAATATATTTCCAGTTGGGGTTATGATATTTATCTTGAAATAATCATCATAATTCCTCAAAATACACCAAAATGTAAAAAAGTTCATGATGAGACAAAGGCCAAATAGTAATAAATTGATTGTCATTTCCCAAATGATCAAAGAAATGTTTGCTTATTTTACAAATGAGTAATTAATTATTTGCTCATTTGACAAATGAGCAAACTAATGTTTGCTCATTTCACAAATGAGCAAAGAAATGTTTGCTCATTTGTGAAATGAGCAAAGAAAACCTTGTTGATTTAATTAATGATTAAAGAATGTTTGCTCATTTGACAAATGAGCAACTAATTACTTGCTCATTTGACAAATGAACAACTAAGTTTTTGCTCATTTGTTAAATTAACAAATAAGTATTTGCTCATTTGACAAATGAGCAACTAACTATTTGCTCATTTACTAAATGAGCAAAAAAATTGATTGCCTATTTCCCAAATTAAATGATCATGGTTGCTCATTTCACAAATGAGCAAGGAAATTAATTGCTTATTTGACAAATGAGCAACTAAGTTTTCGCTTATTTGTTAAATTAGCAACTAAGTATTTGCTCATTTGTCAAATGAGCAGATAATTTTGGCTCATTTTGTCAAAAATTAATATTTATTCTTTACTAATTTGTCAAAAATGAGCAAATAATTTGTCAAAATGAGCAATTAATTTTTTGCTCATTTGTCAAATAAGCAATTAATGTTTGCTCATTTGTCAAATGAGCAAACTATTTAATGATCATTTGTCAAATGAGCAAATGATTCTTGCTCATTTTGTCAAATTAATGCTCATTTGTGAGTGTGTTTGAATGTTTTAAATACGTTAGTCTACTAGCTCAAGGGTAGAGCATTGTGCAAATGCACCAAAAGATGTGGGTTCGAATCCCACGTAGGTTCATTTACGTAATATGGAGACATAAGTTTGTATGAGAGTTTAATTGTAACAAAGTTTATATAGTTACAAATAATTTCAAACCATTTTTTTGCTCATATAATTTAGTACGAATTTGATATTTTTTTTTAATTAATTTTCTTTATAGAGATAACCTATGTAGGAATTGAACCTACATCCCCTATGCATTTGCATAGTGCTCTACCATTTGAGCTAATAGGTTTATCATATAATTTAAATCATTTTCTATGTAACTTGTCACCAACATATACATAATTACAATGTCAGGAAAAACAAAGATGAGTAGAAAATATCTTTTGGGGGACACACAGGTCTTCCAAAACACAATATGTAAGAAATATCAAATTCAAGGTATTAACAAAAGAGGTAATAGACAGACAAAGAGAATATTGAAGGATCTTATTTTGCCATTGTATTCTAGACAAACTTACTTAATAGTTTCCTGAAGTGCACTTGGAAAGTTGGAAGTTTGTGCTCTTCCTTATATTTAGGAATTATCAAAGATATGTACTTCTCAGCGGGATCAAATATAGAAGAGGAAATGTATTATAACTTGGTTAAGTGGAAAAGGTAGCAAATCTTACACTATATTTTGTCAAATTAATCGCTAATAGTTGAGATTATTAAAAAGAAATTTTGAATTTCAACACCATAAAAAAACGCTAAAATGGATTCTTACACTAAAAAAAAAGTTTTATTTTAACACCATCAAAAACTTAAAAAAAAATTGATTTTACCACCACTTAACGGTTGCCATCCAAAAATCTGTTAAGTGGGGTCCATTGTACCACGTGTAGTCATATTAGTAGTTTAGAAAAAAAAAAGACAAATTTAAAAATAAAAAAAATAAAAAAACTCGAAGCTAACCCAGCTAACCCCATTCCCACCGCCGGCACGGCGGCGCCAGCCACTGCCCTATCCAAACACCCCCGTTCCCAGCCATAGCCACCACAAACTACGTCCCCTCCTTTCCCCCATCCCCAAAACCGACAAAACCTCCCAACGACCGCTTAAAATGGGCGACCGTTTTTACCGACCACCATCAATGACCACTAAGGGTAAAAAACGACCCGTTTAGGGCCTAAGTGGTCGATTTCGACCACAAGCCAATCGTTTTCGACCCTTAGAACTCGTTTTTGGTTGGCGGTTTTGGGTGGTTTGATAAACGACCATCCGTTTTTGGTGGCCGTTGGGGTAAAGTTGCCGGTTTTAGTGAGGGGGAAAGGGAGGGGGTGGAGAATCCGGTGGCTGTGACTGGGAACGGGGGATTTGGGTGGGGCAGTGGTCGGCATCGCCCAGCCGGTGGTGGGGATGGATGGCTGGTGTTTCGGGTGTTTTTAGTCCCTCGGGAGAGTTACAATACGGAGTATGCGCGCCTGACTTCTATACCTGCAAAACCACGAAACTCCGGTTGGGTGGAGTTCCGCCTCCGACGATCAAGTTAGTATGATTTACGGATGGGTAAATGTACGGAAGGTAAATAGGTATTTCTCACTGATTTAGAGAGATTCCGCAATTAATATTGCTCGGGTTTTGTGTATGTATTTATGAATGCCCAATAAATGAGGAGGATTCCTCTATTTATAGTGGGGGAGACATACTCCCTGATTAGGGTTTTGATGCCACGTGTCAGCATCCGATTAGATCCCGTTGGGCCTCTGGTGGGCTTCCACGTGCCATGATTCTACTGGACCACGCGGCATAGGGTATTTTTACCCTAAACATTTGCCCCTCACAAGTGTGACGTAGCATAGCCACGTGTCACCTGTGACAGGTGTCAAGCACAGGGGAGGCGACGATTGAGTTGCTTCCCGCCTCTCTCTCCTGGATTCAAATTTTGGAAAGTTAAGGTAGAAGGTGGCGATTCGCCTTTTGGACTTTGCCTATAAATTGAGGCGTACCCCCTCTCTCCTCTTCACTTTACAAATTTTTTTTCAGAAACTTCTTGAGAGTTTTGACACCGGCTGCTAATTTGTGCAACCAGTTGCTTCATTCAAACGCATACGGATACCGGTTGAGGACTTCTTCACTTAATTCACCCAGGTACCGTCTGACTTGATTTTCTTTCTTAGCTTGAGTAGAACCACAGACGGTCATACACCGTCTGGGACTCCATAAGCCCTTGCCCTTTTCATGTTTTGCATTTGGTAGACCCACAGACGGTGTGGACCGTCTGGGGAATCTTCAAACCATGATCCTCAAAGATAGACCCTCAAACGGTTGTGGACCGTCTGAGGTATCCTTAAACAAGGGACTATCCACTGAATGCATACCATAGCCCCACAGACGGTGAAATATCGCTTGTGCATCTTTAGACTGGTCTTCATGGAATTGCACTCAAAAGACCTA